TGTTAAATATCAAAAGAGTATCTACTGATGTATCTACTCTTGTGACCTCCTTGAAAAAGGGAAGGAGCGAGAGGGAGAAAGGGGAGAGTGAGTAAAACGTGCCACAATAATTATTTTCAGTTTCAGCCTCCGTTTTGTACTGGCACTCATTAGAGTTTAACAGTTTATTTTTGACTCCAATTAAAATTTTTGGAACCCCTTGGCTCTGTTTTTCCCCCGAAATGGTGTGGACTCAGCACAATTTTGCCACCTTGTTAAATAATTAAATAATTATTTATATTATTGCCAAAAATTCGCCCTAGGACCTCATTTAGCGTCGAACATGTTTTCTAAATTTCATAGTTACGACAGTTTTTTTTTAAAATCACTTTGAATTTTACCTGCGTAATCAGCAAGAAAACCAATAAACCAATAGGAAGCATTATAGTTTTAATCTGAAGCTTTTTTCTAAAGTTAATGACTAAAATTTAAATAAAACAATAGTGTCTAGTATTAGACGAAAAAAATACTATTTTTACTTAAATATTTACAAAAATGTTTACTTGATGAAGCGAAAAGAAACCGCACCACCTGTGCTCACCGTAATTCGCTCAATGCAATACTCTCGACGCAGCCCAACTTTTGATGATTGATATTCTAGATTTTTTTTTTTTTTTTTTTTTTTAAATGGCGCCCCGGCCCCGTGGCAGCGCTCTTTCCCTCTCGAACCCCGCATTCCGCGGCTCCCATCAATGCACGGTGCTCCCCCCCCCCCCCCCCGCCCTCCACGCGTTCCCTTTGATTTGACGGTCAAGAGTTAAATATTCAGGGTCAAATTTTAAGGGTCAAACCGCATCTGCGAAAAGTTACTGATTTCAGAAAACGTCGAAGCGATTTTTTTCCGGCAGCTTTCGATACTTCTCGTTAACAGCCACACCGCAACCTTAGAAATTGATCGACTTGTTGAATTCTAGGACGACTCATCTCTATGGGCGGGGAAAAAGGAAGAATTAACTGATCGGTGCCGATAGTTTAATGCTTTGGAAATATTTTTGGAGCGCCTTACTGATTTGAAAGCTGCTGCCGATGTTATGCCTAACGGTGATTCCGGCAGCCACCCAATAATTGAGTAACCATTTTGTATTTAAATTTATTTTTTCTCTAGTGATATTTCTATTTTCTTTTGATGTAAATTTTTAATTCTGTAGTAACGTTATTGGATGGCAAATAAATAAGAAAGAAAAAAAAAAGAAGAAAAAAAAAACTGCTTTGTAAGCTATACCGTGAAGAAGGATCAACAGGCAGTGGTACAAACGTTTTTCAGTCGTGGAAATAAACACATAACGACGGTTTTTGTGTTCAAGATAAAAACGCAAATACGACTGCATTTGTTTGAATTTGCCAGAGGTCAAAAATTTAAAATTATAAAAGTAACGGATCGCGGTTATTGACGAAGACTAGAACATATTAGTCTCGAAACCGGTTCGACCTATTTTTAGCTTACATTTTAATGCCAAATTTGGCTGGCCAAGCTGCATAGAACATGGTAATTGATTAAAAAATCGAGCTACAAGCCAAAAATAAACTTGCGGCTCCTTACCCATGCACTGAAGAAGATCGCAGTTTGTTGGCGGTCGAAACGTTTGCTTTGTTTCTTGTAAGTTTTACATTATTTCTCATCCAAATGTAGTTTAAAATATTACTTGTTTAATTTATTTTTGACTTGTAGATCGATTTTTTAATCAATTACCGTGTTTCTAGCTTACTTTGTATTAGATGCTTTGCTTTTACAATTGCATATTTTTGGCCTTCGTATCGCGGTTTGCGGCGATGTATTGACTTTTTGTAATACTACTGTAGAGCCTCGGTTATCCGCGATGATTTTGACTGTACGTAGTGACCGCGGATAGTCGAAATTCGCGGTTAATCCTAAACGAAGTAATTTGGATCAAAAAGGCCGTATTTTAAGAGATCGGATTAAGAAAACGTATCCAGTATTAACCAGAAATGGAATTATTTCCAGCAAAAATTGAATATTCTTTACCCCACAAGAAGTTATTTCGACAAAAATCATTTATTTTACCGCAAATTTTAGAAGCTTTTTAGAAGTATTTTAGTGACTTAATCTCAACAGAGTCGCCGCGATAAAAACCGCGGATCATCAAGACTCTGTGGGAACCATTCACCATCGTCTCTTGGAAACTCGCGATTTTTCTTGCCCGTGTGAAAACAACTCCGTGCAAATTCCATGGAATGATGTTGATTGATCTCAGTTGAAAAAATGAAATTGAAGAGGAGATTTTGAAACGCTGCAATCGAGGAACTCGGTTTATGTGAATTTCGTCGTCGGTGCGTAAGCGATTGAAACTCTAGATGGGTAAAACTAAACGGAAACTGCTAATTTCAAACTCACGGCAGGTCAAAATTATTATTTCGGAAAACAACTGTTGGAGTTGATTTAGTCTGTACAAGCGATTTTTCTGCATAAAAATGACTTTTTGGAATCGGAAACGGGTCCTTTTTGAACTGAACGTTTCAATTATCTCTATCATCACCTTGAGCTCGCAGGCTTTTCAAATTTTCATTTATGGTCCAAATTTGTCGTTTACCAAATGAAAGAATATAACTTAACTTCAACGTTGCAAAATTTCTACTTGCAAATTTTGTGTTTGCCAGGATGCTGTTCGTGTGTTTTTACCGACAATTTCTTTGATTTTTCCTGCGGTTACCCGCAAAAAGCAGCACAATTTTCGGCACAAATTGCTCGGTCGTATATAAAAAGATTGAATTTTTGAGTCATTATTGCAACCCCAGAATGAGGTTCCCTTCATTAACTTACTTTTTCGTTTCCTTATTGGCCCCGTCTGTTAATGAATTCGTGTTTATCCGACAACCTGGCAACGTGAGGCTACGTTCCTTCATCTGGTAAATGACCAACTGGACGTATTTTGATCGAAAGGAACTATATCTATAACGACATGAGCTCTGTCATGCATATACTCTTTAAGATCCTAGGGCTCATGTCAGAACTGATAAAGTTCCTTTTGATTTAAGTGCGTCTTATTCTGTATCGAGAGATCTACCGGGCCGATTTCCATAAATTTTTGGCTATCGAAAATAATAATCATTTTGGATGAAGTTACTTCAAAAATGTTTGAATTTCGGCACAAACTTCTATTTATTTCTCCCAGGACACAAACTTCTATTTGTTTTGTTGTATTCTATTTGTCAGAACAGGTATATTTTCTTTTGATTCAAGCACGTCTAATACTGTATCGAGAGATCTACCGGGCCGATTTCCTTAAATTTTCGGCTATCAAAAATAATAATCATTTTGGATGAAGTTACTTCAAAAATTCTTGAATTTCGGCACAAACTTCTATTTATTTCTCCCAGGGCACAAAATTCTATTTGTTTTGCTGTGTTCTATTCGTCAGAACAGGTATATTTCTTTTTGATTTAAGCACGTCTAATACTGTATCGAGAGATCTACCGGGCCGATTTCCATAAATTTTTGTCTATTGAAAAATAATAATTATTTTGGATGGACTTGCCCCCAAAATTTTTTAATTTTGGCGCGAGCGCGGGGCGCCTGTCGCGGGTTGGGCCGCGTAGAGGCCCGTGGGACACCCCCTCCCCCCGTTTCTACCCATGACCCTGACCATACATCTCTCATCTCTTGGTTGCGACGAAATTAATGTGCCATATGGATCATGTTTTCGTTCTCTGAAATTGCTGACCCACTTCCTCACATCATTTTCGAGCGAGTCAAGCTTGTAACCGTAGAATCTGTGCACGGCTGCTTTTCGCCTCATTCCCAGTGTTGTTGAATTTCATGAAAAATAAAATCATGGACCACGACCAAGCAGTGCTTTTTCTGCGCCCAACGCCACAATTATGGGAGAATTAGAATGGGGCCGGAAGGGAGGAGAGCCTACCCCCTCCCCCAGAAATCGCCCCCCCCCCAGGAAACTAAAGAGATTTTGCTTAATAATGATGTGACATATTTATCAATCTTGAATCTTCAATTCGATCAATTTGTTGGTAAGGGCGGATTAAAATTGCTCCTCAGCAGACGACTCAATTTTACGAAATTTTCCGGGGGAGGTACTGGTACCCCTTGGAAGCTATAAAAATCCCATGAACTCCTCTTCGAAATTGGAGGAAACTGAAAAATCATCCTCGACGCGATGTTTTTTTAGTGACCCCTACACCTTTCTGTACGAGGTGTCCTTCTGCCACCCCTCCCCCCCCCCAAAAAAAAACAAAAACTTTCTAGTTCCACCCATCATGGTTCGAACTCAGTCATAATTTGCTCCATTGTGCGTTGCACGCAGTGTAACGAGACAACGGGAAAAGTCAGACAAAATTTGGAAACTTTTAAAGCTTATATCTTTGAAAATATGAAATGGAGAAGTTGAGGGTGGTTTCATCGGGTATTTCATGACATTTTATTTTAGAAGTATCCTTTGAAATCGAATTTGTGACAAAATGAGCATTGAAATTTGCAGTTTTAGTTAAAAATTTAATGTCTGACCTTCTCATTCATTCTCCCAACCCCCTTCAAATATCATTTTTTTTTAAAATTTTTTTTTATTTTTACAAATTGCAACCATTGAGAGACAGGTCGATGGCGGAAGATCTACATTACATGCTAAAGAAACAGAAAATCCTCTCCACCACAAGCACCACCCCTTTCCCCAGAGTTGCTAAAAGAAATTTCATCGAATTAAATTTCTTTTTTCCCCAATGAAATTTCTTGAAATTTCCTCATGAAATTTCTTGGAATTTCCTCATGAAATTTCTTGGAATTTCCTCATGAAATTTCTTGGAATTTCCTCATGAAATTTCTTCTTATAATCTTTCACGAAATTTCTTAACTCTGTCCTTCCCATATCTCGTTCTACTGTGCGGCGCGAGACTTGGCAGCACTCGATTTGTTGGTGCTACGAGACTTGGAGAGAAGTGAGGAACGTTGTAGATTGCAAAGCGTCTGTGTCCATGCGATAATTTGATCCAAGTTAACCTTCTCGCAAAAGCTGCATCCTTTAGGATGCTGGACAGTAGTCTCCTGCCGACGTCCGTTTGGTCCTTCAGTCCAATTCGAATTCGCCATGCTCCCCGTTTACGCCTCCGTAGTCCTGTCGGGATCCTTTTTTTTAGTTCCGATCTGAAGTGAAATTTCCGATGCATAGCGCCCATTCATCCCATTTAATGTAGTGATAATGCACTTTTCGAAAGTGCCGTCTATGATACCATGCAGTTAAACTGACATTTTTATGTTGTAAAAGCAGGGAACCAAATGGTTTCTGATCGTTGGTGCCGAGTTTCTCTTTTAAAGTGTTTTCCGACCGATCGTGCCAATTTTACGCTTAAAATGTAGTTTAAACGTCTCTTTTGAAAGTGCCGCCTGTAATACCTACCATGCAGTGAAACTGACAGTTTTAAAAATGAAAAAGGGAACTAAATGGTTTCTGATCTTGACTGGTGCCGAATTGCTCTTTTAAAGTTTTTTTTTGATCGATCGTTCTAATTTAACGCATTAAATGTAGTCGAAATTTTTCGGAATTTTTTAATTTTCGATAGTGCCGCCTGTGATACCATGTAGTGAAACTGACATTCTTATGCAGAAAAAGGGTACAAAACGGTTTTTGGTCTCGATTTGTGCCGAATTTCTCGTATAAAGATTTTTCGGATCACTCGTACCAATTTTACCCATTAAATGTAGTGATTATTCGTTTTCTAAAAGTGCCGCCTGTGATACCACGCAGTGAAACTGACAATTTTATCTAGAAAGAGGGGTATGAGTGGTTTCTGACCTTGATCGGTGTGTAACATATTTTAAGTTCCGGTGTTTCTTATTGTTTTAGCAGTGTTTTCTCCTCACTGCAGGTTAGAAGTTATGTGTCCAGCACTTGAGTCTGTATGTTCTGACATTCGCAGCACCTTGGTCTCTCGCACTTTGGTAGTGCAGTTTTCGTCCTGATAATCCTGTGTTTTATCGTCGTTTTCTTTGTGGTGCGAGGATCCTCGGCTGTGCAAGAGAGATGTTATTGCCCCTTAATTTTCGCATATTTTTCGTTCGGGGATTATCGTCGGTCGTTCGAAAGTGACGGCTGTGCCACGCGGGTTGCAGATGCTACTTTTTCAGGCGCACATCTCGCGATGTCTCTGCCGTCTGTCCGCTTTTGGCCGTTGCAGCGAGCCGGTAGAATTTTCAGCGGCGACAGGAAATCGGCCCCTCTGATCGACAATTTAACTGAGACTGACTCCAGATTGAGCTCCACCTCTGTGCATGTTTGTAATGTTACACTACCTCTCATTTTTTCATTATGATAAATTTGACAACGTTTTGCGATTAGGAACTAAAATGTATGGCCCAGTTTAGAAATAACGCATATACCATCAGTTTTCCCATGCGCATACGTGTTTTTACAGATCGGCGAAAAGTTGTAAGTAGCTCCTAATTGCAAAATGTAGTCCAAGTACCGATCGTTCCAAAATCACCGACCAGGAGAGTCTCGGTACTTGGATAGCGTTCAGCATAAAGGAACTAGCGGCGTGGCGCGCTTTGCGATATATCGATTGATCTACCATTTAAACTTATGGGAAAGGATCGATGAACAGGGTGTCTGCAACGAATACCTTGATAATCGATTCTTTATCACAGTTCCAACTGGGAAAATATCGATAATCGATCATTAACGCCTCGCCACTGAAAGGAACCCCGGTGTTTTCGAGATCGTGCAACTTCTTTTTCACCGCAAATAAAACTAAATGCATGCAACTTTCAGGATTTGTTCCACTTAAATGTTACTAATATCTTTGTAAGATGCAATTTTTTTAAGAACTTGATACCTCTCTGCTATAAATTCTGTTCAATCAATGGACTTCAGTAAAATCAGTTTAACTACAACAAATATCGCTAAATTTAATCTCGAATTTTATTTTTGAGCAGAAAACTACAAGGTAAAATAAATTGCTTCTAAAATTTTTTTAAGTTGATCCTTCTTTCTTTTCCTCATTTATTTTGTTAATACATGTTGTGTTTTCTTTTATTTGCTTGTAGATGACCCGGTACAAACATGCCGAGATCGAAGAAGATTCTTGCAGCTTCGGGTCAGTTCACTTGACAGAGGGGGTTTCTGCTATGACCACGCACATCAGATATCATGCGGTCAGTATTCACTCTAAGCAGATTCTCGCATACCATATGTATTGTACAGATAGTGGCAACTGGAAGCGTTACTAATTTATGGAGTATTTTGATACTCATATTTTTTATTTTTGTATGTTTACAAACAAGTGCGGCATTTCTAACGAGAACATATTCAATTCAATTCAAGCACTTATTGTGCTCCACTAGAGGAACCGGAAAGAAAAAACCACGAGTGAATGTGCAATTTCACGATGAGACCACTTTTCGACCACGTGGGAGCTCGTGTTGCTTACATCAAATTTGAAGGCGAACTGACATTGCCTTAGTGTAATCTTCCCTCTTTTTAAAAGGGCGAATTTATTTTTTCTCTTCCCCTTGCTCTTATCTTCCTCTTCTCTCTCATTTTTCCTCTATTTCTTATTCTTTCTCTTTCTCTTTTCTTCTTCGTCTTCCTCTTCTCTTTCTTCTTTCCATTTTATTATTCTTACTCTTTTTGTCTTCTTTCTCTTTTGTTCTTCTTCCTCTTTTTCCCCTCTTTATTATTTTCTTCTTCTTTCTGTTTTGTTCAACATCTTCTGCTCTTGTTCATCTTTTTCCTTTTCCTCCTTCTCCCCTCTTTTTTCTCTTCTCTGCTTTTTTTCTTCTGGCGACCGAAAGGCATGCAATTGAAAAATTTGAATGAATTGACGCGATTCTAACAGAAGTTATCGTGTCTACGAGTATAACAAATTCGTCGACAGTAATCGTCTGACTGTTAATGTCAGGAGATAATGTCACCATTATTCTACCACGTTGGAGATTGTGTTGCCTACACTGAAAATTGAAGGCAGACTGTCATGACGTTAAAGTAACCTCTTCTCGTAAAAAGCTCTTACTTGTGTGTGCCCCGAGTAAGCCTACCATTTCATGGTGACACCACCATTCGACCACTTGGGAGCTTGTATTGACTACATTATAAATTAAAAGCGAACTGATATAACGTTAAAGTATTCTCCTCTGGTTTGGTGATGATAGTTGTTTTTTGAGTGCGCTCTGAGTGAGCGTTTAATATCAGGATGTTATTTGGTGAAAATGCTGCCCATGAAACTAAAACACGAATGGATCCTGATTCAATACTGTAATTCTATTTTTGTATAACTGTACACCATTTTCACATCTTGATTGTTAATTTTGATCTAGTCTTTTTACTTTTCTCCGACTTTACCTTAGCTGATTTCTGTATTATTCTTTCCTACATTTTTAATTAGATGCTATATTTTCATTTTCAGGGTTATTCTATATGGAAATCAAGAAGTGTTCTTGAAAAATGTCTCATTGTATTCTCTGGAGTTCTATTTCTTGTGGTCATCATTATGGGCTTTTTACTAGGATCAAAAGATGATAATGTACAGAGTATATTAGTTTCACAAGGTATGTTTTTTAAATTGTAACCTTATTTCATTAATCACACGTAATAAATCGTGAAATCGATCATGCTAGATCAAGTTAGATCCTTTTCTGAAGCCTTTCTCCTGTAGAAACCTGGCAAAGGATTTGTCGACAGTACTCTTTTGGGTCTCCATTTGGGTCCACAATCCCAACTCACACTTAAGCTGCGACTGCATGGAGATTAAGCCTTGAAATCATTTATTTGTCTATTGAATCGGTTTGGTGGTCCCATCATTCTCCAATTTTCACCATTTGTTTTTTTTCAAATTTTCGTCAAAGATCAGTTATTATATCCTCTTTCCTTATACGTTGCTTCCTCTTTCCAAGTTTGGAAGGTGTCGTCAAATGGACTTCTAGATAAGTTGCGAATTTTATCATGATAATGTATATTTTCTCATCAAAATTGTAAGTGTAACACGATTTTTCACAACGAAAATTATGAAAATAACTCCTAATCAAGATATCAACGTTTTTTAATGCATAAATTTAAACTTCCCTCTCATAGAAAAAACAATAATCTACTTGAGTTAAAGTGCACACCAAAAATTACCATGACCGTTCTGCGGTATGAAAATATGACAACCTCAATCTCGACCCTTTGATTCAGCTATTGCTTGTTTTTTTACACTTTGAAAAACTCAGGGTGGGGAAGGAACATTGCTCAATTGAGAATCCTGCCAAAATCGTCATTTCAAATGTTTCAAAACCAATGCTAAATGAAAACGTTATTATCTTGGTTTGGAGTCACTATCAGTTATTATTCTGGCACAAATTGTCGTCTACATAAAATTTTTAAAAAGGTAGATGTATCAGAATGGTTAAATTTGTACCCTGTCTTTTGATCTATTTGCCTACTTTTTTAAGTACAAAACGTACTCAAACTCACCTTAAATTACAATAATAAAAACAAATTTCTTATTTTATCTGATTTAGGATCCGGATACTGCCTATCGGAGTCTTGTGTTTCAACTGCAGCCTCAATGTTGAGTTCAATGAAGCCCGAGGCAGACCCTTGTAATGATTTTTATGAGTATGCTTGTGGCTCCTTTGGTCTCAGTAATCCTTTGCCTGATAGCAAAGGAGCTTGGGGAATGTTCCAAAAACTTGAACAAAAAATACAACTAGTCTTAAAAAATGCTTTACGTAAGTTTGAATTTTTTACTTTAAAATTTCTTCTCCGATGTATGATGAAGTACCACATTACGCATTTAAGAAGAATTTAGACTTAGAAATGAAGCAAGTAACATTAATATATCTGTTTCTAAAATATGTGGAAACCAAATAATATCTCTGTTCATAAAATTTATGAAAACCAAAGCGGAAGATACTCTTTTAAATAGATATGGCATTTTATAATTTTAGACCGGTGGACAAATTAAACAGTTCAAAGAAGAGGAGCTATATATGCAAATTGCAAAAATTGGATGTCTTATGTGATGTCCATTGTATTGGGACGAAGAAAAACTAAGAGAAGTTCCACAACATTTCATTAACTTGGGAATAGGAAAATGTAGTTTTCGTAAGAATTAGTGTTAAATATGATTCAAGTTTCTGGAATGGGTTGCTATAGAGATTGAAATTCTCTAGATTAAGTTAATCTCCTCAGACAACTTATATTTATCTGTTAAAAATTGTTCAAGCCTCAATTTTAGATATGTTTCTCTTACTTAATTCAGAAAAACCTATTACTGATCTCAAAAGCGAGGCCGAAATTAAAGCTAAGAAGTACTATCTCTCTTGTATGGATAAAAATGAGACCGTCGAAACACTGGGAGCAACACCTCTTCTCAAACTCATTCGAAAAATTGGAGGTTGGAACGTATCTGGAGAATTTGACGTTGATCAATGGGATCTTCAAAAAACACTCCAAATTGTCCATAATAAGTACAATATGGGAGGACTTTTTTACTGGATGGTTGCTGAAGATGATAAAAATTCCAGTAGGCATGTTATTCAGGTAAATTAATTTTTTCATTTTTTATATTTTATTCCCGTTGATTACTAGTGCCTAATTGATGTTTGTCTCTTTGACTAGCAGTATAAAATAAATATCAAAAGTGAAATTACCAGGGAAACTCAATTTGAGAAACGTAGAGTCTCAGCTCTTCTGCTGGAAAACGTCTAATCAGGGTTCTCCTGAGGAGACAAAAATTGATGAGAATCTACCCACTATTCAGAGCCTCCCTGTGCACCAAATGTACATTTTGTGATATTTTCTCCTATCCCACAGAGAGGAGCTTCAATTTTTGAAAAGTCTTAGAATTATAATGTATATGATTCGGGGAAAGTATGTGCTATTTTAAACTTTTATCTTAAACTGTATTTCGCAGTAGATCTGGAATAAATAATATATGGATGTTTTGGGCCACATTTACCCTATGACCAGGTGGCCAAAACTTCAATTTCTAATTAGTTATTCGGCTCAAATGAGAGTTGCCTGGCACTTTAGGTCAAGGAGGAATTGAGCCAGACAAGATTCAAGTGCAGAAATAGTCCTTGAAGTTTACTTGAAGACAAAAAAAAAATTATATAAAATGAAGATAAAATTGAATACAAATTACTTTTGCTCTAATCTGAATTAATAGCCTTTCAAATGATAAAAGATTGTTTTTAAATTGCTATTCAAAAAAAATTATTTCAGTTTGTTTTATGACTCAAATGCATCTTTATAGTATTGGTTTTTTGCTTCAGATACTACTTTTATGTTTTCAGGTAGACCAAACTGGTTTAAGTTTACCAACGCGAGATAGCTACCTTAATAGTTCTTCCAATCATACATTGTTGTTTGAGCTGCACGAATACATGACTAAGGTAAGGAAAACCGGGAAATTTTTGTTTTTGTACATATTGTCGAATATAAGAGGTAGCAAAAAGATAGATTCCGTAAGAATACCGCCCCTTCGAACACAAGCTTACGGAGACATCAGTGTTTTCCTTGCCAGTTTGTCTTGCTCCAATGCCCTCTCTATGCTGTACAAGTAGAAATTGCTATCAGCATTGTCTATAGTGGAATTATTTTAAGGGAAAAAGCACTCCAGTAGGGAAATTGGTAAGTCCTTTTGCATACCTACTCAAAGTACATGTAATTTCCTTTCTTTTAGATGGCATTTGGTAATATTAAGGTATTGGTCTGTACCGTGGAAGAGGTGATGTGTGAGGCAGAGGTATGTAAAGATGGTGGATGGTGGGGGGTCCCCCCCCCCCCCGCTCAATCCTACTCTCACCAAATGAGAAAGCCATTCTACCCCTCTCAAAAAATTCAAATTTAGGTATCTAAAATAGTTTGCAATTTTTTCCCTCAAATAAGCCATTGTTTAATTTTGTTTACTTTTTCCAATAGATAGGTGTACTTTTGGGTGGAGAAGAGAGTAGTGTGCGGCAACAAATGCAGTCTGTGATTGATTTAGAGACAAGAATTGCAGAAATCACAACCCCAGATGAAGATCGCAGGGATGAAGAAAAGCTCTACCATAAGATGTCTGTCAAAGAACTTCAAAATAAAGCGCCCTTTGTAAGTATAATGTATATGTTGTTCAAATCAGGGGCGGATCTATTATTGAGTACGTTTTAGCAGTGAATTTTAAAAGGGAACCAAGTAACATTAGTTGTTATCATTTTTTAATGGACAATTTATTTTGTTACAAGAGAATGGTTACACCGCTTTTCTTGCAAATGTCATGGAATTGCCTTGTAATGTAGTGGGAATTCCCTGCGACTTTGGAATGAATCAGTACAACAGTTTTATTGTAAAAGATTGATGTGACCCATAAAATTTAGCAACAGCTGATTGTTGAATGTGATATAGAGGGAACAGAATAATGACCAGGTTACGTGAGCGCCATGATGAATCCCTCTTGCTTGTTTCTCGAGAGACAACCCCTCTCGGTGGGCCATATAAGTGCTGCCACTCTCGGCAGACCGAACCTACTCTCCAGGTCTTAACACTGATCACCAGAAAGAAGAAAGTGAAGTTTTGATTAACATGTATGCTGATTAAAGTTACGAAAATGTTCGGTTAATATATGTATTTAGTTAACCACCCTCATTGGTTTTCATTTCAGATCAGATGGGAGGAATATTTTTCTAATGCCATAAATTTTCGCAAAGTAAATTCTTCCGAAATAATCGTTGTCTATGCTCCTGAGTATCTGTCCAATCTTACAAACATCATCAACGAATTTCAACAAAGCGAAGATGGCAAAATGTGAGTCGCACTATTTTATTTTTTGGTTTTTGTTTTTATCAACTTTTGTCTATCAATCTATAATGAACTCTGCGTATCCTTATTTGTTTTAAAGCTTTACCCCTGTTTTTATGAAGTTGTTAGGGTATTTAGGTATTATTTTGGTAATAAATAGAACCTTTTAAATTTGCGGTTTTGAGTACAATGAAAGTGATTCGTCAAAAATTACGTGGAAACTGGTTTATTGGTAAAAATAGTCGAATAAAAATTGTCCAAATTATTGTCAATATCTCAAGAATAAATCTAATCACCGCCACATAACACCTTTCTCCAATGTCAATGTAAACCCAGCGGATATTGACATCGGCCATTTTTACTGTAATAATTTGCTTTTAGGCCATCACTCGCTGCAAAATTGAACTATAAGTCTGAAACTTTGTCCCCTTACTCTTAAAGGATTGAGGATTCAAAAAAGCTGTTATCCCTAAAAATGAAAGATGTTGACATTCGATATTTTTACAGATAGTTCTTCGTATGCAGTTGAAGGGAAACAATGAATACATGAGTCAGTTTTGTACATTAATTGATTTGTTATTACAGAAAGACTTTAGTGCAGCTCTCCCCCCTTCTTCCTCCAACACGCTTCGGTCTCAAAAGCATCTTTCAAGGTAACTCAGACTTATGTTGGCACTTGACCGTGGCCATGTGATATGAAATGGGGAAGGACTGAAGTTTGTTGAACTTCTGGTTGAAGTTTCCAGAGCCTGATCCTAGTCTCTAAAGTCATAGCTGAACTTATTCCAATCAAATAAATTATTTCATTAAAATTAATGACTGTGAATAATTTATTTCTTATGGTTATTACCTGTTCCCTAATTTTTTTGAAATTTTTTATTAATTCACAGAGTTCTGAACAACTATCTTGTTTGGCAAACTGTGCGGAGTATGACTCCATACTTGTCAAAAGCTTTCAGGGATGCTTACAAAGGTCTAAGGAAAATGCTGTCTGGCTCAGAAGAAGGGGAAGAACCCTGGAGATATTGTGTTTCTGATACCAACAACATAATTGGTTTTGCGCTTGGTGCCTTGTATATCAGAGAAACATTTCACAAAAATTCCAAACCTATGGTATGTTCGGATAAAATTATGTAACATGTCCCAAGCATTTCAACTGACGTATCTTTACAGAATTTCCCATAATTAGGTCCCACACAATGAGAGATTAATGGCAATGACCCAAGGTCTTCAAGACCGATTTCTTGAAAATATGAATTGCAATACTGAAATGAATTTTTTTTCATAGTTCAAGTAGTTTGTTCGTCAGAAAGAGATTTGCTCTGACACTTCACCCAACACTGCAAAAAATTATTCGAATGATTGCATCCGAATTTTACACTAGAATCATGTTTGATAATGGGTCTCTGGACAGGTAAAAAATTAAAGCTCCATGAGGCATGTTTTCTGACTAGAATTTTATGTAAAACATATTAAAGTTATGGAACTTCTGCTTTTGTAAAGTGGAAGCATAGTGCCCATCATTTGTATCAAATATGTGATTGCAAACATGACGCTAGCAAAAAAAAAATGAAATCAATGTAAGCTTGGTTAGCCATAGAAAATAACCTATTATTCGGCAAGTAACCGGACAACTAGACTACTGTCTTACGCTAATATGCTCAGAGTCGCCACCAGACAGTGCTGGTCCCTTATAATGTACGTGCCCAGGATTAACCTAGATCACCTAGAAGTATCCTTGCTACTAGCTATAGTGGAAACTCTAAGCTTTGGAGATTTACAATTTTCCACTGGGCAATAACTATCATCTTTATTTCTTGTTGTTTCTCGTGTCAAGATGTAAGTCTAATAAGTTTACCAAACAAAGTTTTATCTCTGATTGAATTCCCTAACATATCATGCAACACATGGCAAAGAGAAACCAATATAACCAGGTGGTTGACATATCTCAGAGGCCTGCAATTTTGGTGGGGTGGGTCTCTAGAGGCACTCTCCACAGAGGGGATGCTAGGGGAAAATAGCCCTCCAAAAAAGTTTCTTGTGATTTAAAATCATAATTTATCTCTGTATTATTTTGCAGGCAGAAAAAATGATTAATGACATTAAAACAGCATTCAAGAAGAATATGCACAAGTTGGATTGGATGGATAAAAAGACTTTAAAATTGGCGGAAGTAAAAGTAGATGCAATCACAGATATGATCGGTAATTATGATGTCTTTTGCAATTAAAGTTGTCTTTATTAATATTGTCATCACAGCATGAGGAGTATTCCGTTCGCCAGATATTCAAGGTGGCTCCTTTTTCGTGAGACACCCTGTATGTTCAGAGACTTCCAAGAAAATCATCTGCAATAAAAAATTCTATTTCCCCTGAAGTGTAACCTAAGGGCACCATTTCAGGTTTTTAGAATAATTGAATTGGTTAGGTATTTAAGAAAAGACTTAAGTATCAAAAGTGAAAATATGAGGAAAACAGAAAAAACTGTTGTAATGGACCCATGATTAATCTCAAAACAAACGATAATGTGATAAATTCATCAATCTCTTCAACATTCCAGAGCTCTTAGATTTACAACATGTCGTTTAAAGCGATTCTTACTGTTTTTTTCGTATTTTCATTTCTGGTGCCTAAGTTTCTTCGGGAATGACTGATTTAATTTTGAGCATGAGTTCAGCAACTGTAGCTGTGCAGCTTGTAAAAAGTGAATACATTTATATTCGGATATACTATTTGATGAATAAAAATTTGCCTATCAATCACTACTGTGCTCTTTTTAAATGGTAAGCCATTTCTGGAAAATCATTTTTAAATTCTTTCATTTCTTTCATGTTTACAAACTAAAAGAGAGTAGAATATCTCATATATGTATGCATATTAATTTTTCCTCTCATAAATTGTTGAATCAGGTTATCCAGATTTCATCATGAACCCTCAAGCTCTCGATGATAAGTACAAGGATCTGACTATCCAAGAAGATGAATATTTCCAAAATAATGTGAGATCAAATCAATTTATGTTGAAACAGAATGTACAGCGATTGGATTTTCCTGTGAACAAAACAAGGTTTAAGCATTTTTCAATTTTTCTCTGTGAGCAATGTCATTGGTTCAAAATGAGAGCTACTCTACTTGATTTCAGAATTTGGTGCTAAAATGGAAAAAGGACTAGGAATTGTCCATTCACTGAAATTACACAGTTGACCATAATGAGAAATTAATGAGAATCGTTGTAAAGGAAGACTGAAGAGAGTTATAATTTTGCTTTTGCTCCTAATTATCGTTTTGACTAGAAGAAGAAACACACACACACACACCCTCCCTTGTAACTGAGTTCTCCTATATTTGCATGTAGTTTTTTCCTACCCCCCTTTTTTGTCTTTCTATTGTTGATGTGTCTTTATTTGTAGGATTTCTTAGCCAAAGAACATTTAGATAAAAATAAGTTTCTTTATGTATTATCTCATTTGAGTTCGTATTTTATGGTTTCAGGTGGAGTATGGCTCCGCATACTGTAAATGCTTACTACACACCAAACAAGAATCAAATGGTGTTTCCCGCTGGTATTTTACAAGCTCCATTTTTTGACGCCAAACAACATCAAGCACTTAATTTTGGTGCTGTTGGTGTGGTCATGGGACATGAACTGACGCACGCATTTGATGATCAAGGTCGAGAGTATGATCCAGTCGGCAACATGAAACAATGGTGGCAAAATGACACCATTAGTAGATTTAAGAAACAAGCTAATTGTTTTGTTGACCAGTATAAGAATTATCAAGTTTTTGGAAAACACATCAATGGAAAACGCACTCTAGGTATGAATTTTTCTGTTTGTTGCAACTTCCCTTACACATAGAACATCACCTTTAAAATTATTGATTCTTGAATGTCTATCATATTCATTAATATTAAGAATGATTATTATCAATGATTTTCTAAAGAAAAACATTCCTTTTTTTAGCAAAAGAAGCATTCCAACAGAATGTTACTAATTTGCCTCAATTTGCCTAAAATTAGCTAAAAAATTTTGCTATTCCAGTTTCTGGAATCTCAGGTTGATGAGAGGTGAATAGTATATCAAAATTTACTAAGATAAAAAACATACATATGCCTTCGTATGAATCATAAATTATTTGTTGAAGTGTTGAGAACTGCCCATATTCTAAATTGATCTACCTAAACATTTTTTCCTTTAAAATATTGTCGAAAAACACACTATGACAATACAGGTCCACAACTAAAATAAGGGGAAGATCTCAAATGGAGTATTCCCATAAATTTCAGAGCTGACTCCGAAAATAACATCAGTTTTACTATCTTGCGAGGATTTTCTGAGAAGTTCAACACCATTAGAAAAAATAGACGTTTCGAGGAAAAATTTGATTTTTCGTAAAACTGGCGTGTGCTGGAGAAATACTAAGGTCATTTTTGGATTCAGCCAAATACTTATGAATACACCTATTTTATGCCTGAAAACTCTTTCAGCTTTTTCTAATTACAAACTACAATAGATTACCTATAGTAAATCCTATTCGTTTGGTTTGTGGCTAGCACAGAGGGTAAACATGTATTTCTAAGTGTTTGATAAGCCTATTGCTTTGAATGTTTAGCTATTGAAGCCAAGAAGAGCTATAGATTGTTTTCATCACCTATCAGTTTTTCAACACAAATTATGTGTAACTTTGTAAGATAAAAACTGTAATAACTCAATAACAATTCATGAATTAATGTCCTTATAGGTGAAAACATTGCTGACAATGGAGGTTTACGAGCAGCTTACAGTGCTTATGAAACTTGGGCTTCAAAGAATCCTCCAGAGCTGCCATTGCCAGCTTTAAATTTGTCCCCTAAACAATTGTTCTTCCTAGGTTTTGCACAGGTATGTATCTCCCTTTTTAAATCCTGTTGTTTTAAATTCTTTTTTTTTTCTTTCTGACGCTTTGGATACCAATGAATTGCTTTTACTTAAAATACTGTCCCCATCCTCTGTAATACACAAGTTGTCTTTATAGAAACGATAAAATAGACATGTCCAATGTTGAGCAAAACGCTAGAAGCTAGGACCCTGACCAAAAATTACCCCCCCCCCTTCCAAGTGAGGGTTTTTGCAAGGCAATCAGCTGACTGCACCAAGCAAGTAGGACTGGTCCTCTCCTCTGATTGGACTGCATTTGCAACAAAGAAGTATTATTTCTGGCTCATCCTTAAAAGTACCTATCTGCGTAGGGAAGCTAATGGTACTTGCGTTGTTTTTGAGATGAGCCAGAAATGTTAGTTTCTAATTGTTGTGTTTAGCCTGATTTTCAGCTGAAATTGGCAGGAGAAGATGCCAAATTTAATTTAGAACTCCTTTGCAAAATTATCTTTCTAAAAATTCCATATGCTGAGCAAAACCATGAACTTATGTAGGGTGTCCGATAGAATCATATCATTCTTGCTCAGCAGGTAGGAACAGATCGAATGAAGGACCCTTATTGAAGCTGATAGTAGCCCATTAGATCTGAGGCATATTTTGAAATGGTCCTCTCTTGCTTATTTTAATAGCTAACTTTGACTGTAGTGCCTCCAGTCGTTACTATAAGTCCCTTCATTCCAGTCTGTAGCCTTGGTTTGTTGGTCTTGGGCTGCTCACAGGGAGCAAAAGGTAATGAGCTAACATTGGCTCCAAGTCTCAAGACCTTCGAAGTTAGTATTACCTTGCATCCTAACATTGTCTGTAAATTGAGGACCTCTTTGGTTAAAGGGCGCAAGAGGCTTGTAAAGCCTCTAGTGTAATTTTTCATAGCGTTTGCAGCAAATAGAATTCATTCACTGTCAACTTACTTCCACACAGTAGTGAGGAGAAAGAGCAGTTTTAGAGAAAAACTTGTTAAAGAGCTTTTGGTACGAACTCTGTTGTATAGTCTGTGTAGCATTGGAAGCCTCATATGCCCCTTACAAAAAAAAGTCTCAATTTACAAAATACTAAGCGCAAAGCAAGATTTTGTAAAGTAGACAGCTGACTTACCATAGTGCTTACAGCTAACTGTGCAAAAATCTTCTTGAGAGTATATTTAATAGGTATGAGAAGATTCATTAAAAATAAACAAAACTGATATTTTATTGTTTTATCTTTTACCATTGTAGAACCAAGTGTGTAATTCAAAATAAATTATTTAATTTATTGATTTTTTATCTTTTTCAGGTGTGGTGCACTGTTAGTACAAATGAAAGTCTGAATCTTCAGATCGAGAAGGATACTCACTCACCCGCTAGCTTGCGTGTCACGGGTACCCTATCAAATTTACCTGAATTTGCCAAAGCATACAATTGTAAATTAGGCTCTAAAATGAACCCTGTTAACAAATGTGAGATTTGGTAAGTTTTCCTGATAACTTTTTTCAAGTGGTGTTCGGAGATTTTTCTTCTCTTTTTTCTATCAGCCTTTCGAGAATGCTGTATGTTTTTTTTTATACAAATGTATTTTCTGTCCAGTAGTCAATGGAGAAGAAAAATTGAAAGTGCAGTGGTTTCTGGTTTAAAAAAATTTTCTAAGATTGATTCCAATCGAACAACAGCATTCCTTTGAAATTTCATTACTTTTCAAAGCCCAAAATCAACGAAAGTGCCTATTAATGCAGCATAATAGGCTCTTGGACTAGTTGAAGAAAACAGATTGAACACTTTCAGTTTTTTCTTCCCAAATTTTGATTTTATTCGAACATAAAGTAGCCCTACCTGCGTTTATCCTCTCTTCAACTTCTTAGGTGACATCGCACAATCGTACTGCCACATATTGCCAATATACTCAGTCCTGAATTTTTCGAAGACACATATTACTTTAGTTATTTTATTTTCTTATTTATTTTTTTCCTGTCAAGCGCAACAAACCGAAATAAGGGTGCTCTGTCCTAGGGTGCTAAAGACTCTGAAAGATATATGTAAGTTCGTTTTAAGGGGTAATTAACTTTACAAAAATACAGCATTATTCTGTAATATCGTAATGGAAGTACCAGCTGGTTTACATTCAGTGGTAATGAGCTAAGCGCTCTCAATTGAAACATATTTAAATTTCAGTTTTGCATGTGAGAAATTTTTGAAATATTTCTCTTTAATGTGGTGTTTTACTCATACTTTAGTTTTATGAAACATTTTCACTCAGTGGGAAACTGTTTAGACCTAATTAGAGTGTTCTTATCAAGCTTGAAAGTTGCTTTAATCTAAGAGTTGATTCTTTCATTTCATTGCAGAGGATCTATGTTCCTCCTTTTTCGCAACATGATCTCATTAAATTCGTCTTTGATTTTATCAGTTTAAGGATTTAACTTTTTAAAATAAATTCACTGATGATTTTTTAACTTTTGTCTATTACTAAAACGGTCTTGTAACTAGCCTTACTGCAGGCTAACAAAATTGCCTTTCCCAGAAAACTTTAAAAATTTCTAGAGTTATGTATTTTTGCCCCCCTCACATTAGATTGTGTGAATATACAAGTGAAGCATTTGTTATGCTAGAATAGCCAATAGAAATATCGAATTTTTTATGTAATATCTATCAGTTACTCTCTCTTTTTGAGTGTCTGAGTTACATTTTACTCTTCAAAGGATTCAACAATATGATTTACAAATTACATCATTTAAAAAAAATTCTAAGCCTCATTGAACAAATTCTCTTTTGTTACTTAATAAGTTTATTTTCTCAAAGGGGAGCGAGAAAAAAAGGTCACCTGTTAGAGTACTCTTTGAACAAGAATTGCTTTATTTTTGAGCTATTGGTTTTTAGCAACAATTTTAAGCACATATCCATTTGATCAGGCCACTCTAGTCTTAGGAGTGAAGGTCTCTGGAGAGAAGTCATATTTTTATTTCAAAAGCAGACCTCAAAAGACTGGTTTTAGTTATACTTTTAAGATCTTTTCAAATTGTATGTAACTATCTTTATCTTTATGAGCATTTTAGAAAATTAATTTTTTCTATTTTCATCAAGTAGTCAGGCCTAAGGCAAAGGGTTTCTCTCCTATTTTCATTATTTGTAAAATTAATTCCGCCAAGGAATTTCAATTCACTAAAAAAGTAAGGTAGATATTGCTACAAAAAAATGCTTCCTCTCTTTTGATTCAATAGAGGAAGCATATTTTTTTTAGCATATTTATCTCAAAATTTAATTTTGAATGTTTCAATGACACAAGAAGTTTTAATTTTTTTGTACCTACCCACTTTGTACAGATTAAATCAAGTACCATGATTATCTGATGCATTTAGTCTTTTTGAATTAATTCTTTTTTACTTTTCTTTAGAAATTCTTGTTTCTTCTTTAAATGGAAAAAAATTCTCGGACATTCGAAGTGTATAGATTACAAAAAAAAGAATTAAAATTTTATTTAATCAATAGATCTTTACTTAGGATATGACATTATAAGAACATTGAATTTACCACAGTCCTTGTAAGATACTGAAACGTCTAGTTACATCAGGATTACTGTATTTGTAAAAACAGAAATTGAAAAAAACTTGTACATATAATAGAGACTAAAGTCTCTCGAATGAAGTTGTAAAAAAATCTTTTTTTACTTGAGAATTGATTCAATTATTTACTGATGTGGTCACTGGTGGACAAACTAATATGATGCTTGAACTAATGGGTACATTCAAAAAATACTTTTTGGTGAATTTGGAGAGATCCATAAGTGCCCAACAACGAAGGTAAAAATTTTCTGTATTTTATATACCAGACTGCATCAATGTCCGCTTAAAAACTCAAAAATAATGCTGATATCAATGATCAAAACGTTGAAAGTGCCCATCATTGAACTTAAAAATTTCTTGTATCTTATCCACTAGACTGCATCAATATCAGTTCAAAAACTCAGCAATACTGCTGAGATCACTGATCAAAATGTTAAAAGTCATTGTGGAGTAATTTAAAATATTCTCTTGCAGTGAGAACAGCTTTTTTTAATGATTTGATAATAGATTTGATCGTCTCATACAGCCATATATCTTTAAAATTTAATTTCCAGGAATGTAAGAGAAAGTTTTGGTTTAAATACTTTGTTATTTTAAGATAAAGTTGTAAACTTACTTCATCTACCAACTTAATTTACCAACCATTACTTCTGTTTTAAGTGATGCATATATCTTGTCTGTGATAATAAAAAAAAAACAATGACTTGTCTAAAGTTTGAATGTTATCATTTTTAAATCATCTCTTTTAGCCCTTGGGCTTAAAATTTAAACAAGCACGTAAGTTTGACATTGCTTGAAAAAACTGGCCCTTTCGTCCTCGGTAGCCTCAGGAGAAAATTAAATGTAAGAAAACATAAATAAGTCTTGATAAAATTGGAAAGGATAGCTGCAATATTTATGCAGCGTGTATTTTTTTTAAAAGTTTCCGTCGTATGAAAAAAGCCTGTAAGTTTCTGGTAAGGGAACCTATAATGAGCTAAATTATTTTATTCCTACTTTCAAACTAAATATTTACTAAAACTATTAATGAAAATAGTGCAAATTCGTAGGGAAAAACCTTCCCAACCTCTAAAGAATTTAAACCAATTTTCAAAAAAAAAATTAAGTAATCATAACAATTACATATATTGAATACTCATCGTAATTTGAGAGTCTCTGTCAGTCAGAAATTCTCCCTTTTTCACAAGATATGTGACCGTTTTTCCCCAGACCTTTCATCAATTTTCGAAATTTATGTGTTTTTTAAATTTTTATTATGCTTTTTTTCTCCTTTTACTTATATCAATTACTAGTACTAACCCTGTAGGGACCACTTATAACCTCTTTGTCTGTCAAAAGGCTTTCTATTCCTTTCACTAATCAAGATGTGGCATGTTTTTCAGTCATTTGGTAGCTAGGATTTTGTCTTTCGACCATAAGCATCAAAAAAAAATTTTTTTGCTAAAATTTTTCCCAAGGGGGGGGGGGAGTACCAATGGTCATTTATCCTCTATGCACTCTTTGTGCACTATTTTGAGCGACTACCTATAATCGCAAATTTTATCAAGAGGGAGGGGGGGGCCTAGGCTAGGATCATCTTAGTTTCATTCTTGCTCCCGGCAATTAATAATAAATTATCAATTCAAAAGCATTGAGTAAAGAATTGATTGTCCGGAATAGATGCTCAGGTAACCAAAAAATCAAAAATTTGGTAATTTGAAATATTATTCCTTTACAACAAAATTGATGAAACCGCTATTCCCTGAACAAGTCTCGGGGTATGAAAAGCTTAGAGCCTTGTTCGATCAAAGCATAAAAGCAAGCCTGAAGAGAGAGATGAAAGAGTTTACTGCGAACCGATAACTCTACGCGCTCCCCAGTGCGATCGTTGCCTACAGGGCCGGATTTAGGGGGTGGCGGTGCAAATTTGCAATTTTTTTTTTAAATGTAGGTATAAAAAAAAATAATTACAAACGAAAAAAGGCGACAAAATTTTTCATTTTCTGAGAGTATAGTGATTTCTAATTTTATTGTTTTGCGGTGATACAAGAGACAGCACCTTTAATCAGTCGAGTTATGAGAGAAACCAAACACGCAATTCGGCCTGGAGCGGCGCAGGGTAGAGAGCAATGATGACGAGGACTTGAGATGGAAAGGAGAAGCCCTCGGCGCGGCGGTCGGCATGTAACGCATATTAGCGCCCACAAGACGGCTTGAATACTTCACGCATAGCGTCAAACACAGTGCGTTCAGCAGCGGTCGGCGTGGAACGCATAGCGCCTACAAGACTGTAGGAATACTTCACGCATTGCGCCAAACATAGTGCGATCAGCGCGGCGCGGCAGTGGAAGTTAAAATTATTGAACCCTATTTATGTTTGTTCTTTCATAATTTTTTCGTTCATTTCTTATAAATGGAAGGCCTTGTCCACACAGAGAGGTTTACGGAACTTAACTTTCGCGCCAAGTTCCGTGAATTTTTGCTAGTAGTGTTGACAGGGCTTTCGCAAAAAATGGGCCCAACACGAGTTAGCGCGTCTTATGCATCTCTCTCCCTCCGGCACGTTCACTTGATAGTTTTTATCGGTGTTTCAAAACGAATGAGAAGAGGGCGGCAAGTAGGTAAATCCGGCCCTGGTTGCCTACACGGCAAATTGCAGGCGAACCTCTTGTTGACGATGTTTACTGATATGTTTAAGCTTTTTCCATTGGCTCTATCGAAGTTCATCGAAGTCCTGATGAGACATGAGTTACGACATCGAACATAGTGCAAATTGAGGAAACCAAATTAAAGTAGAAATGAGAAGAACGTACCTCTGTTCGCATGTTGATAGTATCGTTAGTGATAAGATGAGAAGGATTAGGGATAACTTCCTTTGTTCCTATTATATATTACCAAAACAAAAAATCGATAATAAGAAGAATATACACTATGATAATAACCCGAATCGGAGACATTACTTTATTAATGGCAATGATAATTTTGAATAACACGTTGATAATTTCAATGTAAATATATTGTTTGTTCGAACATAATGGACCACTAGACAAGGTACGAATTTAAGCAATCTGATACATGATTCTTATACAGAATTTTACGTAAAACACGATTCTTACAGCGAAAATTACTGAAACCAACTTTTAACGAAGATATTAACGTTTTATTACACATTCGTTACGAGGAATTTGAACTGCCCGCTGACAAGAAACTCAAAGCTCTACGTGAGTCAAATCGCGCACTACAATGGTTTCAACAAGCTTCTCAATCGAGTAATATTCATTTCCCACCACGTGTTGCTCAAACTATAAGCAATTTGCTACAGCTGAGCCAAAGCGTCAAGATTGAGGTTGCCAGATTTTTATATCGTAGAGACTGTCATGATAACGTTTAGCGCACGATGTGAATCACGCAGAACATTGAGTTTTCATGAGCGGGTGGTTTGAATTCACGCATGAAGAATCATGAAATATCTTTGAAAGGAGTTGATTTCGGTATAATTTTCGTTGTGCGCGTCGTCTTCTATGTGAAATTTTAGTTAAAAAACATGTATCAGAATGTTGAAATTCGTACCTTGTCTAGTGGTCCATTTGACTCCAATCCAGTAGTTTCTGAGGTATTAGTTTATAAAAATCGAAGGAGGAATCACACATGAAGTGTAACGAAAATCAGAGTAATCGAATGTAACTCGCAACGCTTGAACAGCCCGTACAACTTTTGGCTCCCGCTATATTTTCTCTTTCTGTTGAGGATGCCCTCAATGAATAGGTCATACTCGTCCAATTAAAAATTCCGAAATTTACATCGTGCTCATTGATTCAGCTTACCAGTCTGAATTTTTCACCCTGCGAGTGCCCTCTTATTTTATCTGGGTTAAGTATATACTCTCATCACCCCGAATTGGGCGACTTGGCTGTGAAAGTCGTCAATTTGCTAACAAGGTCAGGATAGGTTTCCCATCACAGCGTCTCTTTATTGGATTGCATTTTGCCAAAAGGAACCACTAGCATTGCAATGTTGCTAAGATTGTGCAACTTCTTTTATCTTGGAGGAAAAACCCGATTATCCATTAATAGTTTCTATTTTACTCGCTAAAAACTGTAAATTTAAGACAAAAATTACCATCTAAATTTCATAGTTTTTCACGATTTCCGCAATTTTATTGCAAAAGATGAAGTTGCACAATCTTAGCACCATTGCAATGCTAGTGGTTCCTTTTTGCAAAATGCAATCCTATTATACTTCAGTGCATTATTCACATTCTAACAAACTTGCTTTTGATAGTAACAATGCACATCTGAGCTATAAAAGCTTCGCACCTAGGTACGTCGTTTCGTAACTGATGGCTCCCTAGTAAATATATTATGTTGTCCGTTAACATTCAAGGCAATTTTTTTCTTATATCTCTCGATGAAATACATTTATTCCTCCTTTTTTAATCAAAGAGTTCAACCCCTACAAAACGTTTCTATAAAATTTATAAGTTGTACAATTTTAACACTTTGGTCGTTAGATCTTACTCCGATAACCGAAAAAATGTGTCCGTGCGAAACAACCCCTTGGCGCGCGTTATATCACAGGTAGTGAGTGATTTTTGTTTCGTTTTATGCTAATTTTTAGTGAACGACTTGTAAGAAGACAGTGCTTTGGTAAAATAACATCATTTAGTGGTTTTGCCAAATATTAGCAAGAGACGGAACTGAAATCACCATCACTCGGTAACTGCGATGTAGCGCTAAGGGGTTTGTTTCGCACAGGCAGATTTTCCCGATTTTCGGGGTGCGATATGACGACCAGACTATTCGCCCTTTTGATCCTTGGGTCTCCTAGTCAGACGACGACTGCAGTAAAATGTCGTCAAGTACTTTTCAGGGTCTTCAAGTTGTTTTAGGCGTTACATCGCATCGGACCGTAGTTTTAGGGACCAATCTCAGGGAGCAAAAATCCTTGTTAAAAGTCATAGGCGGCAGCTCAACCCTTGCTGTTCAAACCTGCGTAACTTTTTAACTTTTCAATTAAATGACTTGATCTTAATCTTAATAGATTACCATTAGTCTTGTCTTTAAAACAAGACCAAGAAAAATCTTCCACCTATCTTACGTTTGGAGTTGTAGCAATTGTCCCACTGCTTTTTGATCAGCCTAAATAGTTGATCATTCTTGTACAGAAGCTGATATTACGTGTTTAGGAGTGTGTCTAGTAGCTTTACTAGGCTACGGATCGTTTGTCAAACGGATCACACAACAGAGTTTTAAGGGTTGAGTGGTGAGGTTCTGAAAGGTAGAAGTCTCCGCCTGCTATCACTACTAGATAAGTGGAGGGTCTTTATTCGCCTCTGCGAGTTACAAACAGTTCAGTGCGTAAACATGGTTAATAGTTCGTGTAACGCTGAAGGGGAATGATACCACTTAAATACAATGCCGCACAAATTGTGGGTATCTTCGGACAGTTTGGTATTCGAATGAACGGATCTCATTCGAGGCTCTGAAATTACAGATAAAATGATGCCGAGCATCCTGCAATTTTTCGCGACCTTCAAGATCGCGGGATCACGGAGAAATCTCTGTCCGGACTCAGCCGGAACCGATAAGATCATTGCAATGGTCAATGGTCCGTCGCGGGAAATGCACAAATTGCCAGTCCCACAGTACCTAGCTGCGACCGTGTCAAAGCGAATCCTCGCTTGGGTGGTTTCGCGATAACTGGAAAAGTTTTGTCGCCGTAACAGACAACACAT